CTGAGCTTCCTTTTTTTTTTTTGTTTTTTTTTTTTTTTCAATGGGAACAAGGCTCCAATCTATTCGTGGGGAGCAACATAATCCTTATTGAGCTTATGTTGTGACAGGTATGTTGAGAGTGTCTTTTAAGCCTCTGGAAATATCGTGAAATTGAGGGTCTCAACCCTGATAAGCATCGTAATTATGAATGTCAGCTATGATGATTCTGACTGAGAACTCAACCTGAGAGAGCTCTTTTATTGGATGTGTATTGGGTGTGTCCCGACCGGCCGCAGCAGGACCTGAGCAGCCACTTCCACTTGGCCTGATGCTCCTGCATTGCAACGGGTTACTGTGCGGCACAACTCGCCCCAGCCAGCGGCGAGTTACCAGTGTTCGTTGACTGGCCGTGGCCACCAATGATCCTTCTCAGGCCACTGAAAGTGACGGCAACGGGAATAGAACCCAGCACCTACGCGGTGCCGCTCAGGCATGAAACCTACTGAGCCATGCTGACGCATGTCATCAACAAAACGTGCTTCCTCCCGATCTAGTGCCAAATTCGAAATCTCTGGGCCAGCATTTTTTTCCCCTATCGACAAGTTGTTTCTGAAGGGTGCCATCTGCAGCGCACAGAAAAGTGTTTTGCAAATTTGCGCAACAAAGTGAAGATGCTGGAGAATCTGAGAAACAGAAAGGGTGAAGGGTGTCCAGGCCTGTGTGATCAGTTGTCGATTGGCCACAATGAGGTCCTTGAATGACCATGTTCAGCGCCGTGCGGCCTGAACGTGTGCGAATACGCCAAAGGGCATAAGCATGGGCTTTATCAACAGCGATTGCCACATTATTCAGAATGCGGTCATGAGGAAGGGTTGTATTCATATTCCATCTGGTGTCGGTGGGCGACGGTCTGCTTTGAGTTCAGGTACCCTCTAGGACAGTGGTTGGTACCCCTATGTCTCAGGGTATCACTTGTCCAGCATGCATTGATGCTTAAACGGAACCGGGGTTAAAAAAAAAAAAAAAAAAAGGGGTTAAGGTGGATTATGACTTGCAGACTTGCAGTGTCACCGGTTACGAGACTGTGCAGACTGTAGAGGGTTCAGCCTCGTCATGAGTCGGCGAAACTCCAACGCAACAGTCTGTCACAGCCGATCGTCAGTTGCCCTCTTCTCCCTCTCTGCCAGCGGTTCAATCTGCAGTTCTTTGTGACAATATCTATTGTCAAAGAAAACCGACCAGTGAACCAGAGGCAGAGAGGTAAAAGAAGACGAGAACAAATGAGGATATTATCGAGCCAGGATCATATGGACCTGTTTTCACCACCCCCACCACTGAGGGGGAAAAAAAAAAAAAAAACAAAAACAAAAACTGTGCTTTGCACCTGTTTCAAAACCTCAATTCTCAGGAAGTCGGTGGAACATGCAAACAGTTCAAAAACAACTTTTCTGCTTTTTTTTTTTTTTCTCTATTTTTTTTGTTTGTTTCATTTCGTTTTTTCGTGCTTTTTTGTTTTGCCTGGATGCACAGCGAAGCACCACAGCACATCAAGCAGACAACAACACGGCACCTCACCAATAGCCGAGATTGCCAGGACTTGGCCGATCGATCGAATCATCGTTTTCCATGAAGAAAATGTAGGTTGTTTCGCAATCGATAATTGGGCCTCGCTCCGCTACTGACCATTCGACATGCATCTGGAGTAATGCTTGGACCAGATACATTCGGCATGATCCAACATTTTTAACGTACCGGGAGTCGAGACCATTACCAGATGTTCAAAACTCAAATACATTGACTACCTTCTTCCCCCCAATACAACCTCCGGTCATTGTATTTGAGGCACCTTTCAGTCTAGATTTACACAGCTATAAAATGACCATACGCTGTATTCGGCGGAAGAAGGTAGGCAGTTTTTTTTCTTTTTTTTCTTTTTCACATTGACTAGGTTATACAGTGGAGTGATGTGCATGCGCATTGTCTTGCCTTCCTCACCTTCTTTTACAAACTTAGAGCGTCCAGCGCTGCCCGATCTCCGGAACTGCCAATTTTTGGAACCATCCTTCACTGTCACGACGACATCGTTGTCGCCATCGGCCTCTTCGGAATCGCTCTCCACTTCCACCTCATTATCTTCCGCGTCCGAATCACTGTCCTCCGCGTGCATACCCTCTCCGTCTTTGTCATCCTGAAGAAGTTTGAAGAACCCTCCGTCGAAAGAGACTTCACTGTTGCTCACCCGATATTCCACAGAAGCATGGCCGTCATCTCCCTCACCATCAGATCTCAGCCCCCGCCCAGGACGCACGGTTTGTCCCATCTCTGCGTCATCAAAGTCGATCAACACGCTTCCCATATCAAACTTACCAAGGTTGGGGTTCCTCTTCTCTCCCATTTTCAGCTTCTGGACAAACTCCTCCAACTTGGGATGACTGCCTCCTTCGCCCGCCCGCCTCTGCCTCATAACAGGAGAGAAGGAAAAGGGGGAAAAAAACAAAAAAAGGAAACAAAGCACACAACGTTAACAAGAGGTCTGGTGCCATAGGCTGCCGGTTCGAATCCGTGTGCTGTCATGCGGAGTGATCCGAGGCTGTGGAAGAGTACTGATCGGCTGCAGTTCCATTGCAATCCTAATTGTGCTAAATGCAGCCTCTACTTCAGAAAAAGAGGGGTGAGGGGGAGTTGGGGGGGGACAGAGAGAAAGTAATAATGACGATAGCAAGAAATAATAATAATAATAAGAAGAAGAAGAAAACGAAATAAAGGTAAAAACTACCAAAACGGCAGTCAAGATCATGAGGGATAACCAAGAGGGTCTCTCTCTCTCTCTCTCTCTCTCTCTCTCTCTCTCTCTCTCTCTCTCTCTCCTGCTACCTCTCTCTCTCTCTCCCCTGCTACCTCTCTCTCTCTCTCCCCTGCTACCTCTCTCTCTCTCCCCTGCTACCTCTCTCTCTCTCCCCTGCTACCTCTCTCTCTCTCTCTCTCTCTCTCTCTCTCTCTCTCTCTCTCTCTCTCTCTCTCTGTGAGACAAGAAGATGTCTGTTACACATGGGATCAGAATCTATATGACGATATATTTCTATAAGAAATTTACATTTTCTTTTCCTTTTTCTTTTTCTTAAGAATGTTTAGTACACATGAAGGACACACACTTCAGCAATGCGCTGGCCTTTGTGTGAATGTCGCATTCAGTAGTTATGGTTCCCAGTTTTCGACCCTTTCATACAGTTTTAAATTTAGCCCTTCTTCTTCTTCTTCTACGCTATTTATTTGAGTCTATTTCCTACATCAAAAAAAAAAAAAACCACGTCCACTGCAAGTACAATGTCAGAACGTTTCCAGAAATGCAGATGTGCGAAAAAAATGAATCCAACTGTCCAAAAATTGACGCCTGCAGTTTTTCACATTTCACTGACGATTCAGTGATTTCATCACGATTCTAGGTTTTCTTGTCGTTAACACACTTTGATTTTTCAATTTTTTTGTAAAATAACTTTGTATTAGTTTGTAATAATTTTATAATAATCTACATTGCTTCGACAATAGTTTACAATAATTTACTATCTACATGCACGTAGACAACAAATCCAGTATGGTACATGCACTGACATACTATGTCTCCGCACAGCGAGACAACTAATTGTGCACATACAAACAAACAAACAGGCAAACCAAAAAAGAGACGGGACCCAGATGGAATATCTGCATTGTTCCACGAACATTCCACCGCCAATGTGGAACGTGCCAGGAACGTTCCAGGAACGTTCCAGGAGCATTCCATGTTCCATGGCACGGGCACATCTGCGGTGTTCCAGGAATGTTCCACGTCCCGTAGGGGGACATGTGCTTGCGCCAATGGAACAGAACATTCACTGAACTCTCCACTGCCAATTTGCGCAAAATGGTGCCGCAAATGGATATTGTTGAATTCTCTTCTCGACGAACCACTTAGCTTTTCCCTTTGTTTTTTGTTAGCTTTTCCCTTCTTTTTTTTTTTTTTTTTTAACACACTCTTGACTTCTCATCAGCAGCCTCCTCCTCCTCCTCCTCCTCCTCCTCCTCCTTTTTTTCTCAATTCTCGTATTCTCCATGGAAGACCTTTTATCACGAGGCACGGGCTCCAACTGGCTGAGGGAAGTTGGAGACCTCGGGGGCCCTGAATCTGTACCCTTCATTTTCATTGGTATTTTACTATTTTTGCTTTGGGCCCAGAGCCCGTAATCAAAAGTTTATCCTTTCGGAAAAAGAAAAAAAAAAGCAAAAAAAGAAGCCTGAATGTCACGACAGTCCACACATGACAATCAGTTTGAGGGTTCACGTTCTCCTTCCCTGCTTACCCGTGGCAGATCAGACACGATCCGTTTCCGCAGCCGCCTCCGGAACTCCTTGTCCCACTTGCCGTCCACTGACAAGACAAATGAAACAATTGAATTATTACAACAATTGGGACAAGGAAAAAGAAGAAGATAGACAACCAAAAAAAGAAGAAGAAGAAGAAGAAGAAGAAGAAGAAGAAGAAGAAGAAGAAGAAGCAGAGAAAACTGGGTCAGAACAGACCACTCCTCCTCTTACTTGGTACGAAAAGGAAAACTCTCGATGGACGCGTTTTCCAGCAGGGGCTGCTCCCCACCAATAGACGGAGCGTTCAACACTAAAAAAAAAAGAAAACGGGAAAAAAAAGAAAAAAAAAAAGGAAAAGGGGAAAAAAAAAAAAAGGAAAGGAAACTCTCCTTTGATGGACCCATTTTCCAGCAGTTGCTGCTCCCCACCAAGGGATGGAGCCTTCAACGTTATTAAAAAAAAAGGGGGGGGGGGAGGAAAGAAAAAACAGAAAGGGGAGAAAAAAAGAAAAAAAGAAAAGAAAAAGAAACCCTCCTCCTTTTCTTAAACAAAGTCAGAAAGAAACGAAAAGAAAAGGGGGAAAAAAAAAAGAGAAAAAGAAAAGAAAGGGAAACTAACTTTAACTAAGTCACATTAGTATTGCTCCTGGTTTTCTCTGATGCAAGCTATCCACGGTCCAGGACAGTCAACCGTCTTCACCCGAAGAGAACGTCCAGTTATTATCGCTGTATCTAGACTGAAAGTTGCCCCAAATACAGTGTTCTGCTCTTTTCTTCCAGGTAATTGAACGGTAACTCATAATATTAATTGCAGTATTTTACTCCTCCGCTTCCAACAGAGTTCGAACTCGGGTCTGTATTTCCACAGTTCAGTGGTGTACCAACTGAGCTAGGGCATTCGTGGTTGAAGGAGGTAGTCTAGTCAGCAAACTGTCCTAGAAATATAAGTGGATGGATCACCAAATTCATTGCAAATTTCTTTGCAGCCGTGTCGTGTACTTTTAACACACACACACACACACACACACACACACACACACACACACACACACACACACACACACACACGCACACACACACACACACATATGATGGTTTTTAGGGATGATCACTTAACAATCCCGTAATTAATGACATTCTATTATTAGAAAGTAGATAACATTATTATTCCCGTTATTGATGCCACACGGGGGGGTGTGGGGGGCACAGATCACTTGCCATGCACAGGCAAAGAGAAAATGTGTGAAATCTTCCAGTCGCAGGAATGAAGACAATTCAAGACATCCATCGAGGCGATAAACCGTCAAAGTCAACGGAACTTACCGCCTGAGCTGCCTAGAACAACCAGCAAGCCCAGCACCAGCGCCACCATAACTAGGGAGCTAACTCGGCGACCCATTTCGTCTGTCCCCGGCTTCACAGCTACAGCTCAGATTTCAGTTTAAAATTGTAAATTCTGCACAGACAGATCATTGCAAGGAAGATGAGCAATAGCGAACTTCAGCAATCAAACAGCATCATACACATGAGACCAGATAGTCGTGAACACGAACCAAAAGCAGAATTGCATCACGAGTTCCACCAAATAAGAGCACACCAAAAGCTCATAATCAACGAAGAACCAATGTTGATATCCTATCTGGCGCTCGGCGCCCAGACTACGAATGGCAGATCCTATCTAGCCTAGACTACAATGCCGCTGATGACGTCAACAGCTCCCCGAAGTACGAGCAGATCTCGGCCAACGCCGCATGCTTCAAGCACCAGGTATGTCTCTCGTATCACTCACAACCTCGTTCCCCAACTCACAGATGCCACTTGCACCCAAGGACCACCATGCGCCCCATCCAGCATACAGAAGCGCAGCTTGGCTATGGCTGCCTGCTCCTTCCAGCTCGCCCGTGAGCGTGTGAGCCTGGCAGGCGATAGCGCAGCAGCGCTTGCGCACAAAGCAGCCAGTGCCCGAATGTCCAATGCGTGGGCAGGACCTTCCCTATATCGAAGTGGCCTGCTGCTGCGTGCTGTGCTGCGGTATGGGGCCCCCGCCCAGAAGCTTCCGGTAGGCCCAGGGAGGCTGAGCCTCAGACCGAAGGAAACAGGCCCAGGGCCTGAGGCCGTTACCAGCACCCAACTGCCCTCAGTTCTTTGTTCGGTCCACTTTGTGTATCCGGCCCAGGCCTTGCCTCAGTTACATGCAATGAAAGGCAGGCTGGGCCTGGGTGCTTTCAACCGACTGGCGCTGCGCAACTGCCTGAATTTCCCCAGTTGCGGTCTGTCGAGCCTGCCTTCACTTAGGGCGGCCGACGCTGTTGCGAATAGGGGCCGAGTAGGGCTTATCGAGGCCTTGTGCCTCGCATCATGAGTTCAAATCCGACAAGTATCAAACGAATCGCAAGCGAGTTGTGTAAGTCCAAGGCGAAAAAAGAAAAAAAA